ACTAATGGCTGTAATGAAATTTGGAGTTGGGTTAAAGATCTCATTTCTGTGGGAGATAACTTACCTTTCAATGCAGGTGTGTTCAGTGTCTCCCATTCACTAAAGGTGTGTTCAGTGTCTCCCCAATCAATGCAGGTGTGTCCGGTGTCTTCCCATTCACTACAGGTGTGTTCAGTGTCTCTCCATTCAATACAGATGTGTTCAGTGTCTCCCCATTCAATATAGGTGTGTCCGGTGTCTTCCCATTCGCTACAGGTGTATCTGATGCACCTTTATGCAGTTTGCACATCATAATGACAGCTATTATCGAAGCTCTGCTGCTGCCTTCAGCAGAAAAAACCGTGAGACTTGTTCTCGGGGAACGTACAGAGAAGGAGGGGGTCACAACTCTAAGCACTGAATTAAGAAAGTGGTCCATGCACATGAAATACTAAAGTAGACGAGATATACTGTAACTTCAATTTGAACTGTTGCATGGTTCTGAACTCTCTCTGAATTTAGTAATGATGTACATAGTTTTAAAGAATTTAAAAAAAATAATTTGGTATATTTTATTTCATATTTACGGGTCACTTTAGAGTGTTACTTCTAACTTTCAGATGTTGCAAACTGGAATTTTGCAATTTTCTTTGAAATTTTACAATTTCTTGGTAAATATTTTTCATAAATTCAAAGATTTTCATGAAACAATACAGGTTAAAGAAAACGTTTTCTACTAGTCTTAAATATGATTCTTAAGACTATGTTAACTAGTTTCAGATGTGTCGTGTTCTCTGACTAAAACTCAACCCTTTTAAAGAAAGAAATTGTGTAATTAGCGCTAATTGCTTTGGATATTTTGGGTATTTCAAGGAGATAATTCAAAGGACAGAGAAATTAAATGTTCACAGTGTTCTTTAGGCATATGTAATCCCTTTTTACAACATTACCTAAGAACAGGCCTGGCAATGTAAAAATAAACAGAGACCAGCATTATTTTTGTACAATTGAAATAATAGTATTTAAAAGATTTTGAAATGCATATCCATTTCTTCCATGGATGCAGTTTTGTTGAGTTTTGAGATGTAATGTCAGAGGAAACCAGTGAAATTCTGGAAATCAAGGTTATTTGGTCCCTCCAGGTGGTATCAGACAGGTTGTAGCATGCTTGGGCGCCATCTGTAACATGAGGGCCGGCTTGTTGGGGTTTCCATCCCGCCCAGTACCCCACAGCCGGCAAGTCCCAGAGAATCAAACACAGAGATCTCTATAAGTTATAAAGCTGATTGGCCCATTAGGTCAGGCTACTTATTAGCTCTTATGACATATGTTACCCCATTATCCTTATCTACGTTAGCCACATGGCTCAGTACCTTTTCCAGTGGGGCAGCTTACATCTTTCCTCATCTACTGATCACACAGGAGGAAAACAAGTGTTCGTCACACTTCATAACTATCACACATGATCCAGATTACTTACTGGCATAATTAATAGTGTAGAGTTGTGCAGACATAAAGGGTCTTGGTTGGCATAGACTCTCTTTGTCCTTTGAGAAGTTCAGGTCATGGTGGACAACTTACCTTCTTTGGGCTTCTTTTAGGATATATATAAATTAGAATGTGGGACTAGTTGTCTCTAAGACCTTTCTAGCGCAGAAATACTGTTTCTTGAGGTTCTGGTTATCTATAATTCTTCATTTTGTAGATGTGAAGGCTAGCAAGTATGCTTTTATGTGATAATATCCTAATAATTTATTTTGATGATGAAACCTTGGGCCATGAGATTAATGAGTTTAGGAGCTGTGAAATGCATAGGTTTATGTATGCGCCTTGAGCTAGAAGAGTCTTTCTGCTACCTCCTGTGTTCACTGAGTGAGGTAGGCAGGGTGGGGCGAGTGTACAAGAGTGCAGTTTCAGATCATTGCCCTCTCTTTTTCTCCTCTCTTAACTAAAATTATTTTTTTTCTTTTCTTATTCTTTTTCTTTGAGAAGACAGCATATATTTCAGCCATCTGGTTCCAGCTAGAGAGAGTCACGAATTCTAAGTAACTAGTTAGCTAAAGTATGTGTAAAGTGTAAGAACCCATATGAAATGTATGGTTCTTGGGGGAAATGTAGATTGCACATTTATCTATAGTAGAGGGGAAATCTGCAGAGATCAATAGCCAGATGTGACCATGTCCCCAGTACAGAATGGATTTGTGGAGACATTCTCCCCAAATCTAAGGACCGGATAAGGAAGGCATCACCCAAAACACTAGTGAGGAAAGAGAGGAGCATGAAGGGAACGGGCCACTTTGTCCTTCACACCTGCAATAAGATGAGGCACGGACATCCATAATCACAGCAGGGATTTCAAAAGAAACCTCAAACTTTGGACCAACTTCATTGCTCGTGTGCTTTGATTATGCCTAAGGTGATGGAGTTAAATTGAGAGGGAAAAAAAAAAATCACCCATGTAAGAAGGCAGGCTTTATAGAAAACATGTTGTTTAAAACGCACTCTTATTTCAGTTGTCCTCTGTAGGCATCAGATATGTGTGGAGGATATGCTGGTAGTGAGAGGGACAGAGAGTTCAGGCCACAGAGCAGCTCCACCGGTGGGTGCAAGCCTGTTGGCACCACCACTGCGAAGGAGCCAACACAGAATGACTAGGAAGAACTAAGGCAAGAGCGAGTTCAGCTTCAGACCCCTGAGTTGAAAATGGAATGTACAAACCTGGGGTTTAGAGAGTGTTCTAATGTTCGAAGCACATTTGGAACCCAGGGGCCAAGAGAGAAGCATAATATGAAAGATAGGAAGCTGGGCCAGACAGACAGGCTGGCCTTCAAAGTTCCAAGTGGAGTGATGATTGACAGAAACTTTCATGAGGCCCAACACAGTGCACAGCCTGTTCACAAGTGCTTCTGCCTACACTTGCATTATTCTTTCCTCTAAACTGTGGCAAGTTGTTCCCTCCTTCCCTAAGGCAATAGAAACAAGATGGGAAACCAGTACATGGGGGCGGGGTATAATATGGAGGTGTGACGGATGGCAGTGAGAGTTCAGTAAGTAAAAGAAAGGGCATTTCAGATGTTTTGAATAACCTCCTATTATAGGAAACAGTGGTAAAGACTCACACATGGAGATGCTGGGCTGGGCTCGGTTACTAGAGGATCATCTTGGTCGATACTGAGAACATGAAAGGAGGAGAGGCAAGGGGAAGGCAGACAGACCGACTGAGTCTTTATCTGCTGGTACTTTGGAATTCTCCACAAAAAAGATAGGTACTTCCCTAGCCTCTCTAGTAGGATGGGTTTTGGGGTTTGGGATTAGGATTTCCGCATTAGAGGAGCAGCCATGCCACCGCAGTGCAGTTGCACTGGTGACTTGGTGCAGTGAGAGGAGTGAGGGTCAGCCTGGAAAGCGTTTGCCCACACTTGGGGGTTGTTTGGTGACCTTTGAAGTTTTGTTTTGAGCTGCTGTCAGAAACATAATCGTTTTTCTTTGTGAAACAAATTTTAACATCTACAAATGCTGAAGAAGCTAGGATAATTTTAATAAAGTATTATCTATCTTTTTAATGTCAGCGAGCTTTTCAACCCATTCATTGCTTATCTAACACATCGCTCAAAACACTAGAGTTGAAATAACTTTTCTAGTTGGGTTTTCATTGTCAGAGTAAAGCTACAGGGTAGAGACTGTATTTCTGTAGCCCAATTTCAGAATTCTTTTCTTTTAAAATTAGTTTGATTTGTATTTCATTATTTCAACAGCTTGAAATTTTATTTTATTTCATTTTGTTGTACTCCCAAGAGGTAAGACTGTTCTGAATCCTGGCATCAAGCATTCACAATCTGAGTAGAAATACCGACTTCTAACTGCATTCCACTTAGATAGCGACTTTAATGTGTGTCTTCTCATTAAAGCTTATTTATGTTTAAAATGCTGACCTTTCAGGATGTACACAAGAACGCTCTGAAACGGAGCTTCTCAACACTGGCCATGAAACCACTGTCTTGGGCTGACAAATGGATTGGAAATAAGCTACCCAACACTGGGAATGGGCCATTAATTTTAATCAAAGTTGATGCAGGAAGGCCGATGGGATGCATGACAATGTCAACAGCCCAGTAGGTGTTAAGAGACCACTCGGCCTTCCTTGTTACTTGGTTGAGCCATTAGTTGAGGTTGGGTGAAGACAGAAAGCCATGCTTGGAATTGAATGACCAGGTCACTCCAAAATCTAATGGAGAACTCCCTGTTTCAGAAATCACATTGTAATGCCATTAGAAGTCAAGGACAGCATTTAGAAAATACTGGGAGCCTTTTTTTGTTTTTTAAATCAAGCACTTTGCTAGTTTTTCCAACTTTGAGTTCCTATTTCCCTGCTTTCTTCTGTTCCAAATGGGGATCATTGATATTTACAGAAGAAATTGAAAAGATAGGGAAAATATCCTCAAGCCTGTTTGCTTTTTACAAGTGTATGTTACAGATTGTCAAACTCTGAACTGCAAGAAACAGTTGTATACCCAAGGAATTAAGCAAGATAACTAATTGTGCTGCCCTCACTTTCGTTCTCCTCATCTATGAGAATAGTTTTATTAATTGAAACTAGAGTTTCTCGGTTGTTTTCCGAAAGCATTTATTTCCTGATTGCGAAGGCCGCTGTGCTTCTGCCTTACTGTAAATTGTCACTATTGACTGCTGACACTAGCGGGTCCCTTTCCTTTCCTTCAGTAAGTATATTTATTTTGAGAATTTTCAATTACCAAAAAAAAAAAAAAGGTAGCTCCTGACAACTTGGATTAATGATGTTTATAATAAAGACATAAAAATGCAAAAAGGACAAAGAAGCATTCTTGTATCTCTGATTCAGGTTTGGGAAGAAATTCATTTATTCTGACACGGCATTGCACGCATAAGAAAGACACGTATGGCTGCATTAGTAATTTTTACACATATTTAAGAAAGAAAAGCAATTATCTTGCTGTCTTTTTAATGGACTGCGCAATAAATGATGGTGTTTGTTCTTCCTGCAGATGAAGATCAGCTCCGCGCAAAGGGCTACGACAAAACACCAGACTTCATTTTACAGGTGCCCGTGGGTAAGTCCTGAGCCTGATACGCATTTGTGTACAGAGGGGGATTTCTTTCCCACGTGTTACTATTAGCAGATGTTTTTAGAGTAACTCATCTTTATAACACCATGTTGAAATGGGTAAAACTATTGGAAAAGATTAGCTTAAATTATATCATAGGTGGTTCAGAAGCAGCCTGTGCCTCAACACTTTTCCATGTACTTGAGGAATGAGCATGCCTCCTGAAGGCATTTTTTGAGATGCCATTTTCAACTCATTTCTCTGAAATTTGAGTTTTTAAAACACAGTTTTGCCAGACCGCCAGGCGCACTTTGGTCTCCTGGACACATTGCTTGTCAGCTGCAGAACAGCGTCCTGAGTACTAAGAAAGGGAGTTGTGAAGAACGGGGTGAGGGTGACGGGGATGTCAGGATGAGCTGTGGCACCAGTGTGCCTGGCAGGGAGCTCACACACGTGGCTAAACCCCTGCTCGTTAATGTGAAGCATAGAGAGGCCAGTGCATAGCTGAGGATTTTCAATCTTCCCTTTCCTTCGTCGTGTATTAGTAATGCTTTGTCCCTTAGCTGTGGAAGGGCACATAATTCACTGGATTGAAAGCAAAGCCTCATTTGGTGATGAATGTAGCCACCACGCCTACCTGCATGGCCAGTTCTGGAGCTACTGGAATAGGTAAGGTCCCATTATTTTTCTCTTAAGATAAACGATACTCAGCTGAAGTCTCATTAGAAAAAAATATTTTGTTTAGCTGGTAAAAATGCTAGGAGCCTTTTTTTCCCTAGTTAAATATAGGCTCTGATTAATGTATTCATTTGAGATAATTTAAACTTCTCTGCTTTCAAAATGTTGTTTCATTTTTTAAAACTTAAAAATCTATGCTTAAGGTCAAAACTGGTATAGACTATTTCCTGCTTTACGGTGGCTACATTAGTGTCACTTCAGACCAGAGGACAAGCTGTGGTGCACAATACGGTACAGACACTGGGTTGTTATGCTTTTCATGGGGAATTTATGCTTCCTTTTAGACTATAAAAATTAATTTATTTTCTGTCTCTGAAGACAGTACCCAAACCATATGAAAAATGGACATAATTTATATTGCAACAGTAGCAAAGAGTTTACCTACCAATTTCTGTAACCATCTTGATGAGACTGCAATCTCCACAATTAAGGGCTTGTGGGTGGAAACAGATGTATCAGCTACCTGCTGTGGGCCTGGACCTGAAAGTTATTTCAGTTAGTCCTTACAAAGAGGTTACACGTGGGGGGCGGGGAGAGTTTCCTATGTGTAGGCATGTCTATAGTACACAGCTTCGTGTGAATATATGCAGGAATATATACATATATGTGAGCGTGGGTGTAAAGGCCCCAAGTTGACACTGGATGATCTTCCACATTAACTCAACTATTTATTGAGGCAAGTTTTCTCACTTAGACTAGAGTTCACTGATTCCAGCTTGTCTTGGGGAATCTCATCTCTACCGGCCACCCTGTTCCCTCCCCCCGCCACACCCCCCTTCCCCATTGCTGAGGTCCAGGCAACAATCGTGCCTGCCTGGCTTTAACCTAGGTGCTGGGGGTCGAATTCCAGTCCTCACACTTGGGCAGCAATACTTTTCCACTGAGCCATCTTCCCAGCCAGGAAGTTACTTTTATCCCCATTATACAGACGAGTGAACTGAACTGGAAGGAAGGAAGTAGTGATGTGCTACGCTGCTAGTTCTCACAGGCCTGCGGCTATCACGCTCCCCATCCATTCCATTTCTGACGTAGTCGACATCGTCTGCAGTGCAGCTGCCAACTCCTTGGCGTTTTATGGTTGCATTCTCGTTTTCCTTCGTGAACACAAGAGGTGGGTCAACCTTTCCAGATTGACTGTGCTTCTGTCGTTGGCCACCAGTAAGGACACAGTAATAAAATGACACATGCCCAGCTCAGTAAGGAAGGAGATGGTAGCATCTGCAGGCAGCAGTGTGGGGTCTGGGTGGGAGGCCATCCGTTTGGCATTAGATTGTTACTCAGCTTTACAAAAGGCCAGCAGATCTCGCCCGTGGCAGCTGTGCTAAACTACGCCTACTCTTCGCCATGGTAACAGTGATCATGACAAAATGCTGAATGTAATGGCCTTCTTGATTTTCTTGTGTAATTGTGCGTAGCATCCAAGCTTTGCTTTACAGGGATGGAGGAGGAAAGTGCAAAATGTTTTAGAAATCAATGCTGCTTCAGCGTTTCCTGTGTTTTATTCAGCCATTATTCAAATTAGCAGTAATGTGGCAAATTGAATTTTAGATTCTTAGCGATTTTCTGATGAGTTTGAAATAGTAAAGAAAGCATCATTTTTGATAGTATAGGGAAAGCAATGACAAGAAAATCAAATCGCCTAAGTTCAGGTTACTAAAGGATTAAAAAGAATTGATCACGTGAATTACTGTGCATTGAGACTGTGCTCTCCTCTTCGGTACTGGATACATCTTTTCTGAAGAACAAATGTAAGTTCAATTTCAAATAAGAAAGCTCAATTTAAAATGCTAAACTCATATCTTCATTCTAAAGGAACTCAACTGTTGAGTGCCTCCTACACAGCTCACACCAGACACATCAAATAGTCTAGTCGCCACCAGGGGAAACCTATGGATTACCAACATGTCTGAAGGAAGCATGGGTGGTCAAGAATTTAATACAGTTTCTGTCCAGTTAGGTTAGGCTTTGTTCTGTGTTTGTTTTATTTTGTTTTGTTTGAAATAGTTATCGCTAAGTAACCTTGACTGCCCAGAACTCACCATATAGGCTGCAAACTCCCAGAGATCCACCTGCCTCTGCCTACAGAGTGCTAGGGTTTATGGCACATACCTTATGCCAAGCTCCTGTTGTTTATTTGTTTGTTTTGTATTATATTACTTTTATTATGTTTATCCATTATTATACATAGAGTATTATTGTTTTACATACCTGAACATATTCTTTGGATGTACATTGGCAAAGCAGGCATGATTTATATGGAGCATGTTGCATAACAGGGAAAGTTAGCCTTGGTTTTAAATGTTCCAGATCATTCAGGGAAGACAAACCCTACAGATAGTCACCAGTGTTACCAAATGTTTGCAGGTAACCGAAGTAGCACAAACAGTGCCAAAGTGTGCAGTGGAACACTGGGGCATTTACTTCAATACAAATGGTGCATTGTAGCAATATAGTAATCGGAATAGGTTTGACCCAAGGCAATGTTAGTTATCTGTGAATGTTTGAAATCTTAATATTTTGTGAACTTGGCACATAGAACAGGTGATAAAGTTCTCATCAGTAGAAGAAATTCTTTCAAGGGTAGTTGGAATTCTTTCAGAGGTTAGCATTTGGACTAAACTGGTGTGTGTGTGTGTGTGTGTGTGTGTGTGTGTGTGTGTGTAAGGGGGGGTCTCTAGTTAACAAGAAAACTCATGTGAATCTAATTGTCATACACTTCAGGGTAATGATTAGATTTTTATGTAAAAACGTTCAATTCATATTTTAAAACATTTTTTATAATCTTATTTTCCCACACCAGTAATGGCTGCATTATGCTGACATTTTCATAAGAATTTTTTTCTTAATACAATGTTCTTATTTAGCCTTCAACAGGTTTGAAAGTTGGTCATTTACTCCATTTTTACTTATTTATTTTTTTCCCCATGACAAGCTTTCTCTGTGTGACAGCTCTAGATGTTCTGGAACTCACTCTGTAGTCCAGGCTGACCTCGAACTCACAGAAATCCACCTGTCTCTGACTCCTGAGTGCAGAGATTAAAGGCGTGCACCACCACCACCCCACATTCCATCTTTATTAAAACATTTGATTTTCTTGTCTTCCATGAGTCTTTTCTTTTGTGTTTCTTGCCTTTATGCCAGAAGTTTCCTTGGTCTTTTTCACTGGCTCTTCTTCTTGACCTCTGGGTCAAGGGACCCTAGGAGTCAGTGCCCATATTTCAATTATCCATCAAGTCAAGAGACCTGAAATAAAATATTCTAATAAAAAGTTCATATTTGTGTTAAGAATCCTCATACCCCTTAGTCCCACACTGTTTGTAGCAGTGCAGGTACAGGGGGCCCCACTACCCTGCTTTATCCCTCTTTTCACTTCATCTGAAAGGTGTCAGTCATAACCCAACCTGCACAGCCATGCCTCATGCACATTTCTGCAAGCCCTCACCCTCAGGCAGAGGTGTGCACTCCAGTGGTTAGCCCTGAGAGGGGTATTTTGGCTCCCTAATTAACACATTTCAATGCCCTTATAGTGAAGAGTACCACCTAAAACAGGTTGGGAGACAGAGGTCAGGTTCCTTTGGCCCTATAGAATCCTCACTGTGTGAGCTGAACGTGGACAGAATGGTGCCAGAGCATCTGCTCAGTTTATGTTCCTGGCGGGGACCCGCCTTGACTGGGTCTGAGGGACAGTATCAAAGGAAGCAATGTGGACATCTTCCGACACTCTTTTGTATCTTGGCATTAAAGTCTGTGGAGATGAGCACCAGAGGGAACAGGTTAACCACATTGTTGTTGTGCTTCTAGAGTAAGAGCTAGGTTACATCTGTCAGAGTTTTGAACGTTTGGCTCCAGAGAGTCTACTCTCCTACAGGCAATGCTAAGCTAATACCTTCTGCCACAGAAATTGATTTGAGTTCATTTCTTCCCTCTCAGGGCTTTTTACAGATCAGTTATTTGTTCAATGGTCTGGTGATTGCTTTCTCTGGTCAGAGATAGCTTGAAAGGAGGCTTTTGAAACAAGGCCGCCAGGCAACCAGAATTCAAGAAGGTATGTTTCAGAGAGTGGCCCAAGTTTTTCTTGTATTAAGATACTTTCAGGAAGCCCGCAATTAGTCAAATCACAGATTTCTAGTTATTTCAGTCTTGTTAAAAGCAAGGCTGATCACATCTGTCGTAAGTCAGAGTTTGTGCCTCAGCAATAGAAGCTCGTGCAAACCTTCAATTACGACAGCCTCAGAAGGCGCTGCTGCGGTACACTAACAAGCAGTCATCAGCACCAAGAGACAGATTGACTAATAATTAGCCAATGCGCTGGAGAGGACTTCTGGGAAGGTAAAATATAATAATTTGCCTTTCCATCTCTCATAGTGGAGTTGCTTGTGAGATATTGACGTCCCATTGTTCGACAAACACTGGACACTGTTATTAGCTACAGCAACCTCAAAATATTTGATAACGATGAGGAAAGTGTTTTCTGTGTACTTAGTACCTTCATGAGAGTGTTTTCTCAGAATAGTCAAACCATTTCATCTGCACCTGGAATGTAAACCACAAGGCTTTCCCCAGCAAGGAGTTTGCACAGCACCACCCTCCATGGTTTGCAGGGATGACTTAAAACAGAGCTGAGCAAAGAAGTAGAGATGTAGCCTTAGGTCTTTCAGGTGGGGTTTGCAACAAAGACGTGGTTGTTGCAAGTCTAAGAAGAGTTTACACAAAAGATTAAAAGGAAAGAAAACAAGTCTGCTGGGAAATATCCATGGGTCACAGTTTCTTTACTTACCTGGGTGCCTATGTGTCTGATTGCTCCCATGAAGCATGTTGAAGAGCATTCTGAAGGAGACATATTGCGCAGCTTCCCCAGTCCAGGGAAGAATGCAGTGCTGAAATGATAGCTCTTCCTGCTGACCCCATGAAGTGGAGTTCTTGCAGGGTTC